CCCCACCCCCACCCCCACCCCCCCAGCATGCCCCACCTTTCTGCTGCCCGTGCCTTTCCCGCAATTCCCTTTTCCGCAAGTGCTTCTCCGTGGCAGAAATGGGGGAGAAAGATAGGGCGCACTGGGGGGGGGGGACACACAGAGACATGCGGAGATCGGGGAAGGCATGGGCGGTAGAAATGCAGGAGAAAGCTAGGGCGTGCTGGGGGGGAGGGGGAACTGGAGATTGGGGGAGCCAAAACAGGAAGCCAGGCTCAAAACGTTCCCCCGTTTTGAATTGAGGAATAAAAATATGAATGGCAGCTTTTTTCCATCTTCTCACACTTGATGTTTTTAGGGCACCTTACAATGTTAGAAGAGTTGTCCTTTTATATCTTGTAAACCATCAGAAATCCTTTGATAACTATAAATTGCCATGTTTCACAGGAGTTTTGAAGAAATAAATATAATGGAGGCGTTACATGATAGTGATACTATTTTCAAAAAGTTTATTTCCAAAATATAACTGAACTAAATGAAACCCGTATTTTCCCTTTTCCAGCTCTTCTTGATGACTTGGACAAAGAATTGAATAACTACATTATGCGTTGTAGAGAATGGTACGGATGGCATTTCCCTGAACTGGGCAAGATTATCACAGATAATCTAGCATACTGTAAATGTGTACAAAAAATTGGTAAGTAATGCTTAAACTGCAAATGGTGAACAATCTGATCTATTCAGTATTTCTGAAATTATACAAGTTTTCCTATCGGCTGTGAGGACCAGGTTGTAACAACAGCTATAGAATGTACTTGTGCTAACTTTCTTTTCTTATTTACATAAATACAATTCTTACATAAAGACCAAAACTCTCTTCTGTATTCTGCTGACTTCTTCAGCAATTTAGCAATAAAAAATACTACATATAGTGTTACTCTATTTTCCAGTTGTATGCAGGATGAAATGAAAAGACTAGTTATTGAAAAATTGTTCTTAATTGTATAGATTCTTATCTAAACTATTAAGTAGAAATTCCTTGTTAGATATAAACAAATGAAAATCATCCATCCCCTTAATTTCCTTTTCATGCTCATCTTGGTGTAACAAACCTATAGCTAGATGGACTCATAATTTCTGTTTGCTGTATGTCCTTATTTCTATATTTTTACTCCCCAGGAGACAGAATAAACTTTTCCTCTTCTGATCTGTCTGAGATCCTTCCGGAGGAGGTGGAAGAAGAAGTGAAAGCAGCTGCAGAGATCTCCATGGGGACTGAAGTCTCGGAAGAAGATATAAGCAATATACAGCATCTTTGTGATCAGGTGATGTGTGGTGGCAAATTAACAGAGGCAGCAGTTGGCTGGTTAAAAGAAGTTACCAGTCAGAAGACCATTTAACACATCTAAGTGCCACTTGGTTTAGTCTAAATCTGTTTTAAAGCTAAAGAAATAGAATCTGAGTGGATTAATTCCATTTGGTTGATCATGTCTTGGTTTAATGAGCTCAGGCATGACGAAAGACTTGTCTACAAATAGTCAAAGTCCTTGTAGCTGTTTATATCTCGTGTTCTAATTAATCCAGAAAGCATATATTTAACCACAGTTTATTTAGAAATGGTGGTTACTGGCTTTGTTAATGATAGTTAAGGATGGGAGCCCCAGGGGTTAAATTGCAGTACAGTAGGCAAACTGCCCATATTCTGGAGTTCGATCTTCGAACATTTAAAACAGATCTTCGCATTTGACTCAGCCTTCCATCCTTCCGAGGTCAGTAAAATGAGGACCCAGATTGTTGGAGGACCCAGACTGTATGCTGACATGGTAAATGGCCCAGAGAGAGCTGTAAAGCACCATGGGGTGGTATATAAGTCTGCTGTTGCTATTGCTAGTTTAATACGCTGATTTGTATCAAGACTGGCAACCAAGGTTGTTGTTTTTTTAATTTTGGTGAAACCACAACCTGTCGTGCTTTAATTGGTTTACATGAAGAAGAAAGGAAATACATAGGTACTGTATTTTTCGGCGTATAAGATGCACCGGAGTATAAGATGCACCAAGGTTTTGAAGAGGCAAATTTTAAAAAAAGTTTTTGCACTCTGCAAACTTCCCAAAAAGGTCATTTTTTTGCAAAAATGGGCCCATTTTTTTTTTAAAAAAGAGCATGAATGGCCCTTAGGAAGCTTGTAGAGTGTTCCGGGGTGGGATGGGGGTAAAAACGAGCAAAAAATGGGCCAGTTTTTGTGAAAACGGGCCAGTTTTTGTTTTAAAAAAGGCATTAGGAAGCTTATAGAG